ATCACTAATCCGGAATTGGGTCCGAGTGGTTCCAGTGGTTCAGCTGGGGTCACGGAACCTAAAGCACGTCCCCGAGTGAATCAGCCAGTTGGTGGTGGAACCGGCGGCACAAGTGGGACGGACATGTTCACCGTGTCGTTGATCGCGGTGATTGTCGGTCTGGGTATTATTGCCATCGTGTGCATCGCGGTCGGCTGTGTGATGAGGTAAGTACCTGGGGATCGAACACACACACAAACACAAACACTTTCTCTGCAGTGTTAGCTTCCTTCTACCTAAACAACTATTAGTACCATCTAAAATATTCAATATCAGGAATTGGAAGATTAAAAGAAACGATGCATGTAGTCCGGGGCAAAATTTCGAATGCCTCCAGTTCTGTGAGGATGCGATTAGCGGGAAGATGAATCGGTGGGTAGCAAGCAGTCAGTGAATAACGGGTACAGAGAAGGTAGTACAAAGGACTAATTCGATTACGTGATGAGGTCTGTTGATTGTGGAGCAATAGCTGAACATCTCGCTTACCTGACAAGATTGCATCGGTGAGAAAAACAGAGGTTTCCAGTGTTTCATACCCAAAACCAGTGCCAACTAGCTAGGGATTTTCTGCAGTTTTCTGTTCGGTCGGTGGTCCTCAGTTTCTAGCTGGGAGTGTGTAATGGTTTTAGTAGTAATATTAGTAGTATTAGTATTAGTAGTAGTAGTAGTAGTAGCAGTAGTAGTAGTAGTAGTAGTAGTAGTAGTAGTAGTGCACACTGAACTCGAAATACGAACCACGTAATACGAATCTGGGAAAACGAATCAAGGATTAGCAATAACGGACTGGATCACATATGCACTGGACCATACTGGCACTAACACGCAATATCCCACGTAACTGACACGCGAGGAAAAGACATAGGAGTAGTTCATTTATTGGAAGAAACAAAGGGGATTGAATAATATACACAAAGTAGGCTCATTGGTTATCCGGGCTTCTACCAATCGCATTCCAGTATTCCTGGCTTCGTACTGCTTCTGTCTGGGCCGCACGGTCTCTGATTGGTTGGTACGATGTACCTATGATATGTAGACAGAAGCAGTGACATATACGCGCGTTGTTGACGTCACCCTTAAGGTTTGATTGATCGCACTTGTCCGAAAACTGTAACGCGTCGCTCCAGTGTACGCGTCATGTTGTAAGCCCGGATCACCACAAAGTGTCATTGCGAATAGGATGACGTTGAGAGTCGTAGGCGCTATTATTCACGGGGCTGATTCCTGACCGATGCAGGTGTAGTAGTGCATGAGCTAGATACTTTCTTAACCCCTTTTGCTGCGTGGCGTCGGTGAATACTTCAAGGCAAGTAATTAGCAGGAGTCATTCATTATTCTCACTTCTCACTTTAATTAAAGCAGGTGGAGCGCCCATGTGTGATTATTCGTGGAATCCATGACAGATGGAAGTTTGTGTCCAAATAATCCGGTAGACCATAGCATACTAAATGCCATGTTGCTTTTGGGTTTGAACAACATCAAGACTGGTTAGGGTAAGATTTGTTTATATATATTGTTGAAAAGAATGTCCGGGCACTGTATGGAAAGAACTGCAAAGCCGATCGTGTACTTCCAGGGCAATTGTGTCCAGTCACTGACATATTACTTACTGTAAGAGCCAGAATTGTATATGTATAGCTTCCGGGTCAGTTTCGCAGAAACCATTCAGTAATTCACGAAGGCTCCAAAAGTGGTCGCAAACAGTGTCCCAAAATTATCCACATACTGACCTTCTGCATTCAATCAATCTTCGCCACCTCTGCCTCATGAGCTGATTTCGCCACTCGGCCCTAGTGAGACTTTGGGACTGTTTGGTTCCTCGTCCAACATTCCGAATCAATTTTATTTTCCTGTTAACTCATGCCATCTCATTTCAAACCGACACTTTCGTGATTAGAAGTGTTGTTAAGCCAGTCACGGGTTGCGAGGGTTGGTCATTCACCTTCATAAGTCTTCCGTTCTACTGCGATACCAAAATAGCGAAAGATTTGTCTTCGCAATACAAAAACGACACAACACGGATCCTAGCAGTCCTTCAAGGTTATCGAAATCACAAAAAGCAACTGGACTCCTAAGGTTTTTGGATCGAGGTCTAGCTTAAGCGTGTGTTAACTGGACAGTATAGACACAACTGTCGGTGACCCAGTATCCACCACGATCGCATCGTAGGTGCCCGTTCCTCCGAATTTCAAAGACAGCCCAAATGGAACACACACACATCTCTTCCCGCTACTCGATTCTTTAACTGACAGAACATCAATATGACGAACCGACTGAATAGACCTGTCTAGACAACCGGCCGACTTTTTCGTCGAAACCTCGGGTTTTGAACATTTTCGTTTTGGCTAAATCATTTGGGCGGAAGGGACCCTCCTGGAGACGTGTTCATTTGCTTGCTCGATGATTAGATCCCTATACGACCGATACTGAATCCCGAGACAGGAGTATAATGAAAATGGAATGAGTTCATGAGACGGAGTGATAATAATGCTAGTATTATTGACTATGACGTGTGCTTCGCTTGTTGTTAGTTGTTGTGGCCTACAACTGACTAATTCGTTTGTCATACATGCGTGTGACCAAATCGATTGATGAATTGATTAGTTGATCAACTGACTGACTGACTGTTTGAATGCCGGCTTGACGGTATTCGCATGTAGTATGACGTGTGCACCGGAGTCAACCTATCTGCCTGCCTGCCTGCCTTCCTTTCTACACGTTGTTTGTTCATACTTGTTCCCCGGTTTGTGAACCGGCTACGTAATTGCCGTTACAATAAACGTACTACCTAATTCGTTGTGTGCTCATCTTCGTACTTAATTTGGAACACAACATTAGCTTTAAAAACCAGTTGTGATTCTGACCGCTGTGCGCACTGTCCTATCGGAGATGAGTGGACAAGATCAGTTGGCGCAGAGGAGGCAATAAATGTAGTCAACTTAGACTTCTCCAAAGCTTTTGACTGGGTTAATCACCGTACACTGCCGCGAAAGCTCCATAGCTACAGTGTCNTACAGTGTCCGAGGGCTGCTGATTGACAGGATTTAGGAATTTCGTCGACAACCTACCGTATCCGTTCGAGTTAATAGTTCTCTGTCGGGACCGATCGAGGCTGTTCGCGGAGTTCCACAAGGATTCGTACTCGGTTCGTACCTTTTCCTAGCATTCATAAATGACCTGTGAGCTGCCCTTGGACAAATAGTAATATTATTCGCTGACGGCGCCAGAACATGGAGGACGGTACAACATCCTGACGTTTATGAAACCTTGCAGGAAACTCTCGACGCAGCTTACCGATGATCAATCACTGATGACATCGAATTCAACGTTGAGAAATGCAAGGTTGTATCGTTGCGTCACAGGAGTCTCTTTCCGTGCTTGGAAATCAGCCATTACTGCTTGATCCAAACGAAACAAATCTGAAAGTTATTGCTCTTGAAGTTCTGGGATACTACACACATTGCGTAAGAGCGTTACCAAAGGTCATGAAGCTCGTTGAATTGCTCAAACGTGTTTTCGGATCATTTGAAGCAGGCCTATTCCTCTTTTTGCTATCAACATTTTATTAAACAACACACCAAGTATGTTATACGGGCTTGGAATCCATGGCTTATTCAAGACCGAAAGACACTCGAATGTTCGTAGAGAACAACACTTAAAATGGTCAAAAGGTTACAATCTAAGATCTAAAGTGAAAGGTTTCAAGTTCTCGGACTTTATTCATCTGAATACCGTCGAATACGGGGAGACATGATCCTTGTATATCGAATACTACATCAATCTAACCACCTGTGTAATATTCTACTTAACACTATCAAGGAATGGCACTTCAGAGAACATCCGTGTAAACTTTTGCTCCAACAGAGTCGGCTAGACTGCTCTGATATCAGTCTCAGAGTTTGTAAAACCTGGATCTACTCTTTTCCACCTGAAGTTGTTTATGCTCCGACCGTCGATTCATTCAAGTCACAGGGCTCGATGGAACATTGAACTACACATAATTGTTCAGCACGTGTGTGGGTGTGGGTGTGTGCAGATCCTATGGGATTCAATAAGCATCGGCTTTGTAATTTACCCATAATACAAAAATTTGAATTTGAATTAGAATCAGGAACATCGAAAGTTCTAGAAAGTCTAACTCATTCATTTTATGTTCATTGCAAACGATTCCTGGCCACATCCACCATGTCTTATCTCCGTCTTCTCCATATACGCGAACCTCCTGGAACTAAAATTCATTGACCGCACTCCCTCCTTCGGCACTGTTAGATAGCTGAGCTGATCAGAATAGACACACCTTTTGCTCCCTGGTCGTCTCTACCCCCTCTCGCTGTATCCACGCCCGGTGAATATTCACACCAATCCTTCACTTTCAGCAAAGGGTGTCTGCCATGAAGATATTAATCTTCCAGGTGCCTGGATCAAAAAAGAACAAGCTTTCGTAAAGGTAAGAAGGGCGGGTTTAGGTGGATTAACGTCTTTATGGACGCACACACATACACAATCAAGCAGAAATCGAAAGACATTAGATCCGCTTGTTTATTTCCTG